CGATCACCCAGCATGCATCTGTTCGGCCTTTGGTCGAGTCTGTCAGGTGTGTATGTGGTGGAAATCAGTGGATAAAGTCCAAAGTATCATAAACTCGTTTGGGTTGAAATATTTATTACTAACTAGAATATAGAGAAATCCTAAAGAATACAGAAGCCATCAACTCGAGGACAGGAGCAGTGCAGCCCTGCACAAAGGAACTTCAGCAGGACCCCCCACCCCCCCCCCTCAGTGTGACCGGAGGATCAAGGATCCATGTTCGCAGTGGTGAAACACTGTGCCATTGTGGAGCCGGTCCAGTAGAGGTCACAAGGTCCACGGGGGTCACAACTCAACGATGTACAGTTCGGTGTGGCAGTACGAGCTCCGCCCCCTTTTCCTAAAGTCACCAGCGCTTCTCAGTGGAGCGGCAGCTCTTTGTGACCCGGCCACTGCTGCGTCCTCATTGGAATCCCCCCCCGGACTCTTGTATCAGACGGCTCTGACTTTCTAATGAAAGGCTTGAAGTGTGTGAAGTGGGGTGATGATCTCTGTCTGTGGGAGAAAAGGTCCTTCTGGGTCCAATAATGTCACATGATTGACCCATAAATGTTGAAAGGAACAATCTTTGTCTGTCTTCTGAGCAGAACTTACCAGCAGGGATGATGACTCAGCCTGTGGTCCTGATGCCGTCTGTGTATCAGCAGGGGGTGGGATATGTGCCCATTGCAGGTCAGACACACACGCCGTCTCTTACATGTGACCGTGGTCAATGCAGCGTGTTCATGTCCTCCCTGCGATCTGTGTGTGCGTCCCGTGTTTTGCTAGGAGTGCCCACGGTCTACAACCAGGGCATGGTTCCCATGGCGATGCCGGCTGCCGCGCCAGCTGTTGGGGTCCAGGAGCCGCCGTGCAGCGAGGAGGACCTGAAGGCCCTGCAGGACATGTTCCCCAACCTGGACACCGAGGTGGTCCGCACTGTGCTGGACGCACAGCAGGGCAACAAGGACGCTGCCATCAACTCTCTGCTGCAGATGGCCGAGGAGCTCTAACTGCAGAACGCTGGCTCACAGCGCGCACACACACAGCAACACACAGACACAGAGCCGTCTTTATTAGACACCGTCCTTTGTTCGCACACAGACTCAAAGCTCACCCACTCACTGCAGCCCCCTCGGGGGCCGCGCTCTCTGCCGTAGGGGGTGTCGGGGCAGGAGGCGTGAGCTGTTTGAGCCGTGTTGAGTCCACCTTCTGTTTAATGTTGAGGACCTTTTCCCTTCCATGTGTCTGTAGTGACCTGCAGTGGACCTGCGGGTCCCCACGTTGCTGTAAAGTGTTTAGTGCGTTCCAGATGTGACTGACAGTAAGTGATGTATTACACAGAGTCCTACGTGGTGGTAAGTGAACACATGAAGCGAGAGGTTGAGATTTAGGACTGAATGTAACAGCGATCACATCTCATTTATTGCCCAAGTTGTGATTAAAACCATTTCCAATCACTTTAAGGTTCTGAACTTACTCACATATTGCCCTGTTGTGAGGCTCTGCAGCGCTTTGGAGACCAAACATCACGTGTACACGACTGATTGATTCCTAACTGGATGTAACGGACCCCAAAGCCGAGCGCCACACGTTTCGTCTTCTAATCCTTTATGCCAAAGCTTTCCTTGGACACGCCGTTCTTTTTTGATTAAAAAACCACCGGCATTTCCTTGTGTTGTCTGTATTAAATGAAATATCAAAGCCAGCCCTGTGTGCTTGCGCGCATGCGGAGTGCGCTCGTCCTCTGTCCTTCAATCGCAGGCCGCTGGTTCAATCAGTGCGTCCTTGGCCGACACCCTGAAGCCCAACGTTTGTGGGCTTCAGGGTGCGTTGCTGATGGAGACGTGTGTGACCCTCTATCGGCCCCCTGTGGAGCGCCTGTGTGGATTGTAGCCCTGTTTCCTGTTAGACGCTGGGGAAAAGAACTCTTCATTCATCCAGCCGTCATGAATAGTTGGTCGGCTGTGGAAACTAGACTTGTTGTTGAAGTTGGAGGAATGAGTAGTTGCCTTCAGGAGCAGGCCGGCTGAGTCGCGTTCAGCCGATCATACCATCCACACAGCGTTGAATCACCAAATACTTATACAATACAATGCCCAAATGTCAAGGGAGAAGATCCTTCTGCTGGGAGGGACAGAATGCCATAGCTGTTGATTGTATAGAATGTGACATTTGTCCAATGAATGAATGAAACTCATGACGAAGTTCAATCCCCAAACGTCCTTCAATAATCCTGGAGAACACACACAAGTTGACGTACACGTAAAAAACACAATGTTGTGGCTCTTGAGTTTCCTGTTAATTCTACAAGTCAGATTCTTCTCTGATAGTGATTGGAACAGATACTTTGTCACAAAAAACATTACATTACAGGTCATTTAGCAGACGCTTTTATCCAATGCGACTTACATTACACTTTAAACACATGGCTTTTTCACAGTTTTGCCTGGGGAGCAATTAGGGGTTAGGTGTCTTGCTCAGGGACACTTCAACATGGAACATGGGGCAGCCTGGAATCAAACCACCGACCCACACCTTCTCTAACCCCTGCGCCACGACGACCCATATGAAGTTTGGTTCTTTTATGACTTAATTATCACTTAACATAAAAAGTGACAATCTGCTGGGTCAGAAATACACATACAGCAGTGCTAGTATTTGGTCACATGTCCCTCGGCCATCCACAAGCTTCATTGAATCTTCTCCTCACAGAATTGGTGCAGTTCAGTTAAATTTGATGGCTTTGTGACATGAACTTGTTTCTTCTGCATTGTCCACATGTTCTCAATGGTATTTAAGTCAGGACTTTGGGAAGGCCATTCTATACCCTCATTCTAGCCTGATTCATCCATTCTATTATCACTTTTGATGTGTGTTTGGGGGTCATTTTCCTCTTGGAACACCCAACTGCGCCCAAGACCCGACCTCCAGGCTGATGATTTTAGGTTATCTTGAAGAATTTGAAGGTAATCCTCCTTCATTGTCCCATTTACTGTAAAGCACCAGTTCCAGCAGCAAATCAGCCCCCAGCATAATACCACCACGCTGCTTGACAGTAGACATGGTGTTCTTGGGGTTAGAGGCCTCACCTTTTCTCCTCCAGACACATTGCTGGGCATTGTGGCCCAACAGCTGGATTTTGGTTTCGTCGACCACAGAACTTTCCTCAGAAGGTCTCATCTTTGTCCACGTGATCAGCAGCAGACAGTCGAGCCTTAAGGCGCCGCTTTTGGAGCAGGAGCTTCCTTCCTGCACGGCAGCCTCTCCGTCCATGGAGATGCAAACGCGCTGGTCTGTTCCAGCAGCAGATCTGCTCTCTGGTGCTTCTCGTTGACTCGTCACCCTCCTGACCAATGTTCTCTCAGCAGGTGGTTTTCTTCTTCCTGATGGTGACAAAACGGCGCCGTGCACTTCATACTTACAAACAAGTGTTGGCTGCTGCTCTTGGGACCTGCAGCTGCTTTGAAATGGCTCCAAGTCACTTTCCTGACTTGTTCAAGTGAATGATTCGCTTTTTCATGAGCCTTATTCAAATAGACCAACGATTCCCAAAGTGTGGAAGGTACTGCAGGTGGGCCGCGAGAGGTCATTTACAATAAATAAATAATGGTTTTAATTTTCAATTTTTAAAAGTTATTATTTATTAATATCTTAGTTAATATTTATGATTAATTAATTGAAGCACAAACAATTTAAAAGGACAGATTAATAAAACAATAAGGCTCTCGCTCTAAACGGCTGCTCTTGTGGTATTAAAGTCAATATAGCGCATTTTCCGCACTCCAAGGCGCACTTTCCTCAAAAAACGCCGATGCCTTATAATCCGGAGCGCCTTATATATATGGATCAATTGGTTAATGGGTTGATCCATACTGGTTGTACACGGCGCTCAAGGCGCTCTGACAAACACGCCAAAGCTCGTCTGCGGCGCTCAAGCGCGTGAGATACGGAGCTGCTTTCAGGGCGCGTCGGAGAAACAAAGCTGTCGTTCTCGCCGAGCACTTAATGAGATTAAAGAGCGAGAGACGGCGCCCTTTTCTCTACAGTAGCTGAACCATCTTAACGGGGAAATAAGTTATTCTAGAAGCAGCCGAAGATTTAAGGCGTGGATGGCGAGGGGGGCGGCGGGAGCGGACGCACCTCGCAGCATCGATCGGACCCTGAAAGCACCGTCTCCACCACAGTTGTGATTAAAGGTTTGGGTGGGCCGCAAAAGATTTTCCGATTTCAAAGTGGGCCGCGGCGTTCTTGAGTTTGGGAACCGCTGAAGTAGACGTCACCAGCTGTACTCACTCACAAGAAGTCAAGAGGCCATAAGGCTCATTTCATTGACGCCAATTCATGTTGCTGTATGTATATTTTTGACCCAGCAGATTTTGTCACTTTTTCTGACCCATAATAAAGTCATAAAGGGGTTCATGGCTCCGCTTCACCAGCCAGGACTTCACATAATGTGATGGATCTTTCTTGAGGCAGAGCCTCCCCTGTCATCATGAAAGTAAAAAACTAATATATTTGACTTTGACCACGAAATTTGAAGATTCTATAGCTAAACTAAAACATTTCACTTAGCATTTCTCTTAGCTATGTCTAACCTGGTTGCACATAATCTGTTGACAATTTTTCAATGAATTAGCCTAATCTGCAGCGATATGCGTGAGGATAATTACTCATTTTATTAGACCTATTTAGATGGGACCGAGAAGGCTGGCTTGTTACCTGCATCATCGTATTTGAAAGCATGTTATTAATAGCGTTTGTCCCTGTCTTAATGCGATGTTGTGCGAACCAAAACAACGTTTAAAAACGTGAATTGATCTTCTTCAGTCTTACTTGGTACTTGAGGCCTTTTGCGGGCATCTGTGGGAGTGGGAGCACTCGATGGTCTCTTCAAATATCGTCTGATATCCATTGCTAACTACCGGCGGTAATCCATTCTGTAGTATCTTGGATACTTCCGGTTCAAATGTCTGTCATGTTGTGATGAGGTCATCAAGGTGCGCGTTTATGCGCAGAAGTAAATATGCACTAATAAAGATGGACGCATACAGCGCCGACTAAAAGAAACTTACTGGTACGTGTCGTACTTAGACATTTAAATGTCAGTGCACGCACACGAATATTACACATTCCGAACAGGTAGGCAGGCAGGCTGATCCCCAATGTGTATGTGTATGTACATACCTCCTGGATCCTGATTGGTGTCGCTGCTGCAGCCGCATGGCACTGATTGGATGCTCACAGACCGTAATACAGCGCAGATGAAAATGATTCAGACTACGGTGTTTATATGTTCAACAATAGGAAACGTAGTCTTAGCTGTTTTAAAATTACACCAAGTTTATTTTGGATTATTCCAATGGAAGAATATGGTAAATGGTAAATGGACTGTACTTGTATAGCGCTTTTCTAGTCTTCCAACCACTCAAAGCGCTTTAACACTACATGACATCATTCACCCATTCACACCCATTCATACACTGATGACAGGAGAACCATACACAGTGACACCTGCCATCAGTAACTACCATTCATACACTGTAGTCGCAGCTACAGGAGCAATGTTGGGTTAAGTGTCTTGCCCAAGGACACAACGACATGCAGGTTAGCCGGGCCTGGGATCGAACCCACAACCCTCTGATTGGAGGACGACCTGCCCCCCGCTCACCCACAGTCACCCACACAATACAAGGCGCAGGGAACTTTGAGGTGCATAAACGCTATTTAGAGTGCATAAACGCTATTTAGAGGTGCGTAAACGCTATTTCCAAAATTCCAGAGGTGCGTAAACGGTGTTTACGTGAGTTTACCCTCCACTACAGCCCTGGACCCCACACATATGCAGTAAAGAATCTAGAAGGTTTATTTTTTTGACAAGAAAAAAATGTTGAATGCTTATTTCAGTGTGGGTACGCGTGGGTTTGTTGGAAGGAAACTAGGAGAAGTCCCAGACCATAACGGCTGTGTGTCTCGTCTGGCGCCGCCCGCTGCCCCTTCTCTCATTATATGTGGGAAGAATGCAATTAGTAAACTGGTGCTGAGGCCACTTATGCCTCACTCGATCCCCTCTGCAGCTGCTCCAAACCACGGCCCACCAACACTGGTGGGCGTTGAACCCACATCTCCACTGAAACTGGACTGTCAGGGATCACAGCCTTCCAGGGAAAGCTCATTCAAGAGAAGCGCTGTGGATTTCACCAGGTGGTGGAACAGTGGACTCGCTCTTTACGCTTGCAAGCCGACTGGAGGGATCCTGTGAGTTCACCCAACCAGTGCACATGTGCGTTGTGGACGAAATGAGCATTAGAGACCGGGCAAGGGGTCATCAGGAGGGAACTTGATGTTTAGGGGCTCCTTCATGTCAAAAGGAGAGCCAAGGTGGTTCAGCAGTTGGTCTCCTACTGGAGGAAGGAGGCCCCGGCAGGACCCAGGAGAAGCTGGATGGAAAATATCTCCCCGCTGGAAACGCCTCAGCTAAGCAGAGTAAAATGGTTGGATGGATGGAAAATCAATTGATTTACATTTTTAAAAGTGCTTTAATAGATATAGTATTCAAACATCAGTATACCATTAACTCCCAGTAAATGGACGTTCTCACTTTCACTCATTATCGCTCTCTAGCAGATGTTCTGCGTGGATAGAGACAAACCAAGCCAAACAATGACTGAATCCTTTGTTAGTAGAAGGCGCTTTCTGTATTTTTGCTGGTCTGTGTGACCCGGTACCATCAGGCCCAGTCTGGGACCGATTCGTATGTGGCTCCACCTGTACGTCCAAAGAAGATGGAAACAAACTAGAGTCGAGTCATGTGACTATAAACTGATTTTGGGTTTGGAAGAAGAATGAGCTTGTGATGTCACTGTTGTGGTTAACTGGTAGTAAAATGTGATCTTGAGAGCGTTACAGCAACCTGCCGCGTGGGTCAGAGGAGCGAACGCTGCAGACTGCCTCTTCCTTCAGATGGCAGAACTAAACTGGGCTATCAAAGGTTTGTGTTACAAACCACTTAAACAGAACATTGAATCTTTTTAATTTTTTCAAATCACACAACCCAATGTTGATCAAGACTGGATAAGCACTGGAGCAAAGCACTCGTCAAAAACTACTCACATATCTCTCAATCAAGACCTTAAATGGTTTCCACTTTTCTTGTGGTCATTCTGATAACTACCAGAAAAAGTACACTTATTTTTTAGCTAGTCAAAGGAAATATTAATAGTTCTATTTACTGATTTTGTAAGGGCTCTGAAAAAACACTGTTGTTGGATACTGAATAACAACAGCTTGAAAATGTACACATGTCGCACGGAGTGATTGGACCTCAGCCTTCCTGTAGGAGCGGTCGGTAAAATCAACGCGCATTTGCTCGTATTGTCACTTCAATATTCTTTTATTCATTGTTCGGCAAAAACAACCTAAATCACACTCATAATAAACGGAGAATTCAATGCGTAATGCGGTCAGAAATAGTATCTCCTTCCGCTCTCAAAATAGAAAACACACCTGGCCTTACTCAGGTGACATTTAAATAGCCGACGCCCCCTGACGTCATCATTACATCATCACAAATAAATCAACAGAAAAGGCAGTTTCATTATGCACAATACAAATGTAGTGAAATGCCTTCTACAGTTCCATTACATTAAAAACATCTAGGGTGCTTTGCTTTACACGCCCACCATGCGCAGGCTCCTTCATAGGTCAAGTTGGCAAGATATTCAGATTCAATGGCTCGTCAGCGTTATTTGACCAAAACGGACCGGTCTGCGAGCCGGACGCATTGGTCTTAAATGTGCGGCCGACATTGTGGTAAATTAGGGTTGTAGCTGGTTGTCAACTACGGAGAAGGGCCGTTTGTGTTTTAACAATGTTTTTGGCCGATGTTTTTTGTTAAATTTTTTATTGTGGAAATTTGCGTCTATAGTTCTGGGAATGGGAATAAATCTCAAGAGATTAAATCCAGCCAATCCAAAGACTGGGTTTGTAACCAATTAGCTGTAGAGATCCCATGGTGATCCCAACAGCGAGCGAGCAAACAAACTCCATGTCGGCTGGTAACGCAGCTTGTCAATCACAGTAAACCTGGTCTCTAAATGGTCCATTTGAACTCTTTAACTTAACTAACTTTTGCAATGTTCACTGAGGAAATAAAGTAATCCTTTTCTCAGACTTCTGTCAGCATTGCGGGGTGGAAGGCAGGACTCAGATGCAGACTTCTCCGAAACAAAAGACTTTAATAGTCACCAGATACAAAATCCAAAAGGCCAAGGGGCAAAAACACACAGGCATGAACCTACGGAGATCCACAACAGGAGACAAGAACATGCGTGGCAAAAGACAATGACGCGACAAGTGACAACAGACACACATGGTTTAAATACACTAGGGAGGTGCAGGTGATTGGACACAGGTGGAAACTATTAAGACTATCACAGGGGATGACGGGACAAGGCAGGAAGTGAAGTTACCCAAGGACACGAGTGGCAGAAAACTACAAAATATAACATGAAGTGAACCACACCGTGACAGTACCCCCCCCTTAAGGGCCGACTTCCAGGCGGCTCACACTAGAGCGGAACAAGGGGTGGGGGGGGAGGGAAACCCGAGACGTTGGTCGGACCACCCGGGAAACTCTGGCGGGCGGCCAGGCGACCGGGGAGCCTCTGGGGGTCGGCCTGGCGGATAGGCACACTGCCGGGGAGCCTCCGGTGGTCGGCCCGGCGGACGGTCATTTGGCCAGCTCCGGAACGTCTCTGGCATGGCAGGCTCGGGGACACGGGAAACCTCCGGGGGGGTCGGCGGCGGCTCCAGCAAGGGGACACGGAACACGTCCGCAGTAGTCGTCGGCGGCTGCAGCTCGGGGACACGGAACGCGTCCGCAGTAGTCGTCGGCGGCTGCAGCTCGGGGACACGGAACGCGTCCGCAGTAGTCGGCGGCTCGGGGACACGGAACGCGTCCGCAGTAGTCGGCGGCTCGGGGACACGGAACGCGTCCGCAGTAGTCGGCGGCTCGGGGACACGGAACGCGTCCGCAGTAGTCGGCGGCTCGGGGACACGGAACGCGTCCGCAGTAGTCGTCGGCTCGGGGACACGGAACACGTCCGCAGTAGTCGGCTCGGGGACATGGAACACCTCCGCAGTTGGGCGGGCTCAGCCCCCCTCATAACCCACCCCATAGCCCCCCCCCTCAAGGGCCGGATCCCAGACGGCCCTCAAATTACCAACGGGAGGGTGGGAGAGGACCATGGGGCGGGAGGGAGGGAATCTGAGTCTCGGAGCGGGGACTGGGCGCGTCGGGGCCATGAGTCTCGGAGCGGGGACTGGGCGCGTCGGGGCCATGAGTCTCGGAGCGGGGACTGGGCGCGTCGGGGCCATGAGTCTCGGAGCGGGGACTGGGCGCGTCGGGGCCATGAGTCTCGGAGCGGGGACAAGAACATGCGTGGCAAAAGACAATGACGCGACAAGTGACAACAGACACACATGGTTTAAATACACAAGGGAGGTGCAGGTGATTAGGTGAAACTATTAAGACTATCACAGGGGATGACGGGACAAGGCAGGAAGTGAAGTTACCCAAGGACACGAGTGGCAGAAAACTACAAAATATAACATGAAGTGAACCACACCGTGACAGACTTCCAAGCACTCATTTTGTGGACACGCTGGTCAGGGGGTACGTACTGGAGAGACCCCTCCAGTAATACTCACTCCCCGCTCTCCCACTTCTGCCAGTTAAGTGCAGCTGCTGGTCTGCAGGTTCCTCCAGCAGGATTTTCACCCATCACTCTACACTCCCCCCCCCCCCCAAGTACCATCGCTCGACAGGCCCTCCCTCAGTTCAACGCAATACTCTCTCTCCAATATGCTTATGTTCAACTACACGTGGTTAATAAACTAACATCAGTGTCAAATGTTATTTATACACCTAAAAAGGCAAACTTATCTCAGTTGTGGTTGTTATTATTTTTTGGGGAAAAGTAGCAATTTATACCAAAATCATATGCTTATCCTACATATATTATAGAAACAAAAAACTATTCAATGAAATTAATAAGTTCTTATTTTCTTTGGTATTGTTGTGATTAGCAATGATGATTGCTGGGTAATATGTATGTTGTTGTCCAGTGTCAACTCAAGATAAAATACGCTATAGTTACACCAATTCGAAGGTCACGACAACGCAGTTCATTGAGCACAGCGGAACGTGTAGCAATGCCTTTTAAGCATAAGAGTGGAAGCTCTAGAGCAGCGGTTCCCAAACTCGAGAATGCCGCGGCCCAATTTGAAATCTGAAACTCTTTTGCGGCCCACCCAAACCTTTAATCACAACTCTGATCAAAACATAATGATTAAATGACCTTAAGAATTTAACCAAAATCAAACATCCGCAATCAAAAGTCCGTCTCCGCGAGGTATTTGCTCGCTTGTTGAACAAGCCTTTGTTGGCCAATATTTTGAACCTTTGGTGAAGTGTAGCAGACGCTTGTTGGTGGCCCCTCTTTCAAATCAAATGCATTAGTTCCTATGCATACAATTATTTACAGAAAGTTTTATGAAAAGCTGATTTCTAAAGTTTAGGTTCTCTGTACAATATTTAGTGGGTTCATTTTGCTGCAATCATTCCCGTCTAGAAATATAGTGGGTTATTGTCTACCTGAGCAGAGAATAACTAACAACTGTGTGTGTTATTATGGGGGCCACTTTGTACTTTTTTGACATAGCTTGCATGTTAGCTAGCTGTAAGCTACACACTGTTAGCTCTGTCAACACGGTTAGCCCCGTTAGCACCGGCAACAAGGCAATGGCTGTTGAGAGCCGTATGGGGGCAAGACATGCGCTTTTGTAATTAGCGACTGTTCAGGAAACCTTGTTTTTTTTTAGATTTGATGGATACACCATAGCTTCAATGTCTGAATCTGTTATGTCTGAAACTCTCCATTTGCAAAATGTTTTAGGTACATTGGTGCTTTAAGCTAAATACCAAGATTATGATGGAACCATAGAAATATGCAGATATTTAGCAGAAAAAAAAGGTTTATAATGTTCATTATCATAGCTTAGCGAGTTAGTAAGCTAACATTTGCTAATCATCACTAAACACATACAGCAGAGTGTGTGTTTTGAAATGTTGGGAATCTGTCAGTCCAACCAACAGGTGACGAGACACTCCGGCCCAACAGGTCGACTCACTGAACGACCAACAGACCGCCATTGCAATCATTAGAGCCAGTACGCCTTCTCTGACCATGTACAAAATATCACAAGTATTATCTGGCTCTCTCTCTGGTGTGGAAATCGCTATCAGAGACATTCATTCAAATCTGTGTCAGTTTCAAGAGAATCAGTCAAACCTCAATACACACAACGAGTAGTAGTTTTGGGGGTGAAGGCCAGTGTTGGTGTGCACACAAGTTAGTTACCGTCATCACAGGCTATCTGCTGCACGCTAAGCCAAGTTAAACACACAGCCAACTACAAGAGATTAACACAAGTCCATCGTTCCATTGGCCATGGCCAATTTTTGTTTCACTGTTTCTGCAAGTCCATCCCAGCTGATTCGGCTCTGTTCATCAAGTCTGACTGTTTCGTGTCAATTCTCCACGGCAGTAGTGATGCAGAGGCCTAAAGCTCTGAATGAATCACATCATTTGCTGCAGCCTAGATGGTGACATCTGCGAAGTCTCGTCTGGCAAATCCTTTCTGAAAAAAATAAAGACACAATACAAACAGGATAAGATATGAGAGTTACATTTGTGCCGTTCCTAACCTTCATTGCCATGCACTTTTCACCTGCCTATTTGAGTTCTTAATACGATTGAGAGGTTCAAAACTGCCGCCAACTTGCTTTGACTGTACTTTACCTCACAAAGCCTTAAAATACAGCAAACACGAGTCTAGAAGCCCTGAAGTCAGCTGATCGCAGGAACAAATAGTTTTAGCTTACATTTACTAAACGTTATAATGCGTAACAGAATACTGGTTGGCGTTTTTTTCTCATGGAGTAGTAAATCACTTGTAAGGAAAGAAACATCTAACAACCTAAACAAATGTACATCTAAAAAATAATTTACAATAGTTTTGTTTGTGTTGGCTTCCACCCGCTTGTCTTTTTGTTATTACTCAATAGGCTGTAAAGGAAACAGAGTGGCTTACTGCTACTGGTAAGAATGCAGAGAAAGGTGTGGTCTGCAAAAAACAACTGAGCTGGGACTATGGTGATAAATCTGTGACGGTTCATCGCTTTCACTTCCAGACATCTGATGCATCGTTAATGTAGGAATGTTGATAGCTAACATGTGAAAGAGCAGCAGGTCTGATAATCACCCATTCAGTGGTCACTAGATGCCTTGTACAAAAGCTCGTACCTGCCCAGTTGATCTTTACCTTATTTCTTGGGGTAAGTTTTTTTTAGATAGAGTTATTTGGTCAGGATTAGCCTTTTAGGGACCAGGGTTAGTCACAAGAAGCATCATGGCTTGTATCTTCAGTAGTTTTAGACATGTTGCTCTGGCCCAACCTTTGTCAGAACCTCATGGAATTGGGTTGAAGAGAAACTCCCAACAGGATATCTATCAAATGTAGTGACTTCACCGTGGAAACTCGACTATCAGATAAACACAGCTTTAGTTTTACTGTGTCAGGCTCAGTGTGTGGGGAAGGTTGTACAGGGAGAACACAACAGTGCTAGAGACTTTAAAGAGACAAAAGCAAAATATCTTGGCCCAGATGCTTAGTGTTTCTACCACGGGTGGTCACTCTCAAATAAAAGTCTCAAACCCGACAGCAGCAGTGGATGTACTGAGAGATCCTCACAGAATGTAGAGAGAAGGATTGGCTTAAAATAAAAGAATATACGATCTTTGAAATGATGTATGTATATTTGTTTTTTCATGAGTAATTGCCCATTTATAAGATTCCAAACCCCTTAACAGTTCCAGGCATTAGAGAAATAAAGTGTCTAATATATCATAAAAGGGGCCGCTAAGATAGCTAATGTTGTTCGCCTACTTGGACTTTTATCAACTTCATGAACTGGTGATACAGCAAGTGCATACTTTAAACATAGTGTGTGATTTGTTTAGCTCCTTTACAATTTAAATGTCTGCAAACATGGCCAGACGTTTTTCTCCTACATGAATTGAACAGCTGATACATTTACTCGGTTCCTCTTCCAGCACAATTGTTGGAACAGCACCAGCTATAATCAGTATTTTCATATTGGTTTCAAATGAATCGCACTGGCCAACACTCCCAATGCAACAAACACAGCAGCTTGGTCAGCGGCACAACGCTTATGTGACCTCAAGCATTCGTTTATTACGTTGTGCTAATGTTTTGTTTGTCAAGTGCAGCAATTTACGTCCATTTAATGCTTTCAAAATTAGTTTACATGTTGTTTACAAATAAACTCCTTGGTTAGGTTGAGGCTTCTGTTGAAAGAAGAATATTTGTAAAGCCAGGTTGTAAAGCCATTGGGTGATGCATGTATATGTATATACTTATATATGTGTGTATATATATATATATATATATATATATATGTATATACATGTATATATATACAGCGTTTCCCCTACCATTATATCAGGGACCCCTCACCCTGAAATGACCTCCCTGCACCCTTTTAAATAGCGGTTAATGGATTGTGGTTAATTTCTCTTAATCAAGCTGTTGGTTTTACAACGTGTGTCTAAGACAGAAATATTGAATCAAAGAATTTACATCCTGTAGTAAAGAAAGTAAAAAGTTGAATAACAATAACAACTGATTTGTCATGATATCTGATATCTGTGGTGTGGCCGACTAAAAACCACCCCGACGTTAAAAAACTGTATGAACTCCACAGTCTAATTAGCGTTAGCTCCAGAGAATTCTTTGTATCGTCAGCCAAGTACTGCAGGATAAGAGGGCTTATCTGGGAATACTTGGGCTAAAAACAGCCTCTCATGGTAGACAAAAGGGGGGGCAAGAGGACCATGCGGAGCGGAGTGAAGGTCAAATGGGATATAAAACAGATGTGCAGAAGAAACCATCTGGTGGAGACAAAGGTTTAGAGCATAATGGCAGCCAACTCCCACACATTCTGCTCTCCTTTTAACTTCACTCGTACAAATCCATTCATACAAACAGCAGTGAAAAATACCACTTTAAAACTCTTTTTGGTGTTTTTGCGATCTAAATGTAACACTGAGTCCCACTGCAAACAGAAGTCAGCAAAAAGCATTGCTGGTTACAACTGTTTTACACAACGGCCATCATCCATATATATATGTATGCTTGTATTAAAATAAATGCAATACATTATTGTAAAGTTGAATACACTAAATATGTCTTAAATGTAGAATAAACTCAGCAAACGTGTTGAATTGCACTAAACTCCTGCAACAAGTGAAAAATTATTTTTCCCTAATTACTAATTTCTCAGTTCATCAAATGGATATTTTTATATTATATATAATTAATTGTAGTTCACGGCTCAGGAAAAATCTGTGGGTTCAGTTGGCTAAAGGCTAGCTCAGGAATCGGATTGCACTTGCTGTTTAATTTACAATCTTTCAAGTCTTTCTTCCTCTGAACAATAAACCATTTTTGTGCAAAAACACCCACTGTGCTATTGCCGTGCCAGCTAAACCCCATGTCCAATTTTATACAATTAACAAATGTGCCCATTGATTTAATAAAGTTATGTAAATACGTCCATCCAACAGTTTAGTATGTTTGTTGTTGTTTTGATGTTAGACGCTGAATAGAATAGAAAGACAACTTTCTGCTAAGGACCTTCAAAAGCTTAACGCAAAAAGGTTATCACCGATAAAAAAGGCGAGACAACATTGGTGGTGCGGTGATACTGTTGGAAGCACTAGTTAACCAACATCAACTGCGCTAAACTTACAAATGGATGTGTAATGTTAACTAAGCCGAAACGTTCTGCCAACCAAAATAGAAAATGTTACAAACTAATATTATCACGTGATGTATCAGAAGCATTGAAAAAGGATGCAGCGTGCTTACGCTCTGGGATGTTAGCGACTGGCCCCAGAACCTTAACATTACCATGTGCATTTATTTAGAACCTTAACATTACTATGTGCATTCCTTTAGAACCTTAACATTACCATGTGAATTCATTCAGAACCTTAACATTACCATGTGCAATCATTCAGAACCTTAACATTATCATGTGCATTCCTCTAGAACCTTAACATTACCATGTGCAATCATTCAGAACCTTAACATTACCATGTGCATTCCTTTAGAACCTTAACATTACCATGTGCAATCATTCAGAACCTTAACATTACCATGTGCATTCATTCAGAACTTTAACATTACCATGTGCATTCATTCAAAACCTTAACATTACCATGTGCAATCATTCAGAACCTCAACATTACCATGTGCAATCATTCAGAACCTTAACATTACCATGTGCATTCCTCTAGAACCTTAACATTACCATGTGCAATCATTCAGAACCTTAACATTACCATGTGCAATCATTTAGAACCTTAACATTACCATGTTCACTCATTCAGAACCTTAACATTACCATGTGCAATCATTCAGAACCTTAACATTACCATGTGCATTCCTCTAGAACCTTAACATTACCATGTGCATTCATTCAGAACCTTAACATTACCATGTGCATTCCTTTAGAACCTTAACATTACCATGTGCATTCCTTTAGAACCTTAACATTACCATGTGCATTCATTCAGAACCTTAACATTACCATGTGCATTCACTCAAAACCTTAACATTACCATGTGCAATCATTCAGAACCTTAACATTACCATGTGCAATCATTCAGAACCTTAACATTACCATGTGCATTCCTCTAGAACCTTAACATTACCATGTGCATTCATTCAGAACCTTAACATTACCATGTGCAATCATTTAGAACCTTAACATTACCATGTGCATTCATTCAGAACCTTAACATTACCATGTGCAATCATTCAGAACCTTAACATTACCATGTGCATTCCTCTAGAACCTTAACATTACCATGTGCATTCATTCAGAACCTGGTGGATATCAAAAGCGGTCTGTCCATTCCAACGGCAAGCTTGTTTTATGCAAACCTTTTGAAAAAGGAATTAGCCCTGTTTTCATCAACTGGTTTTGAGCAAATAGAATATGTTGGGGTGGTTGGGATTATAGCTTGTTGCTATAGGCTACGCATGCCTGTACTCCATCAGTTTAGAAGAACCAGTAAAGGTTGTTACCTGAACACAAAGCAAGGCGCCATCTACACAAGGGAACATCGGCGAGAGGACTATATTTCCTAATGGTGTCGGCTATGTTTTGTGCGGTACAGAGATGAGGACAATATAAATATGTATCTGATTCATAAACGGTGTTTATGGCACCTGTGGCTCTTTAGCTGCAGCTATTTGAGGAAACAAACCATCAAAAAACATTGTAGATTTTTTGGCCTATCTGTGTGAACCCATTTTGCAAGTTGTTTTTGCTGCGTATCCATGTGCCTCTTATAAGAAAAGAAACTATTGAGGTGATTTTGCACAGTGTATCTTGGCCTCAGCAGGCGTCGGTCTCACCTGCTTGTAGTCTTTGTGCAGTTTGTTGTACTGGAACATGTTGCAGAGGACAGTTGAGGCCGCTCTGGCAGCCTTTACACTCCCAGAACTAAAAGAAGACAGTGCTGGACGGTTATAAACATCAGGACATGCCAAAGCAGAGGCAGGGGGTGTAATAAACACTAGAAACTAATTAGCCAAGTGTTATGTTATGCACGAGGCCAGTGGCCAGAGGGGCAAATAGCATCCAGAATGTGGAAAGTAAACACAGGTCACATCTACAAGCTGAAAGATTTTAGGACCACACAGCTATGGACGAATTATAAAGATTCAAAAGAAACATTCATGCTGAGGTATTAACTTTTTCTTCCGTTCTATCACTGAAGGTTTGAGGATTACAATAGAAGTCAGTCTTACCTGTTATCATGCGTTGTCTTTATACCAATCAATTTTGGTAGGCCGTTAAAGTATGAGATGTCGCGGGCTGCCAAGGAACTGCAGGTGACCAAGTGATTGAGGGCCCCACAGATGTTGACCACCACCTCGGAGGATGGCGTTTTCTGAAGGCCATCGCTGGGCAGCTTGGAGACCAGAACACTGACCATGTTCTTAGCTTTCAGAACAAAGATCGAGACCTTTTAAAGCTCCAGCTCTGTTGGTTCGGTTCATTCATACGGCACTCTTTCAACAGCCCTGTTTCCCTTCATAACATTTAAGATTTGGGACACCAATTATGCTGTTATGTTTGTATCCCACTACACTGGTGACCTGACTCCATGGAACTGAGGAGTAGTTATGAACCACACACACAGACAGGGTTCAAGCACACAGATGGGTGGTCCTCATGTGTTGCCTCTTACCCAAGTGGTCTTTGCTGGCTGAGTGTCTGCTCACATTCCTCAGCAGGCCGGTCAGGGGCCGCAGCTCCATGTCACTGTCGGTGTCCAACAGATCCAGCAGGATGGGCAGCATCCGCTCCTGCTCCACCACCACAGCGCACAGCACCGACACCCACTGATAGGGGGGGGCGGAGATGACACAACACTGTACTGAGTTCTGCTGCTTGTTTGATGTTTGGTTTTCTCAAGGAGGAATCCAACAGTTGTATTCATCGGTCATGCATACATACCCTGGCATCTCCTGCAGTGATATTTTGAAGGGCTCCTATGGCCGCCTCGCGGCTGTTGGAGCTGCTGTTGTTCTGCAGAACAAGCTTGTACAGCACCACCACATTAGGGTGATACAACCACTCAGCCCCCTTCGGCTGCCGGGACACCTCAGACAGTACGGACAGATTCTGGTTACGCTGTCGGGGGAAAAGAGAGATCAATGTTATTTACTACTTTCAAAGAGTTATATCTTTTAAACAAACGAGCAGTCTCGATCATAAAAAACAGACATTCTTAGTTTTTAATAATTGTATTTTTGGTTCAGGTCACACAACAGTTTTATGAAAAAACAAACAACACAAAGGTGAATGCTAGTGGGAATTCATCTAAGGGTCTACGTCAATGGTGAATCAAAGTCAATGTTGTTCCTGTGCCGATGGGAGGGTTCCAGCACCGCCGATGTTGCGTGTGTACAGATTGTAAAGAAGAAGAAAAATAGGAATTGCAGTGTAAAACTAGCTGGTCCTCGAGTGACCACGTTTGCCTGTTTGGCGTATCGGACCCAGCCTCCCCTGGAGTTACTACTCTGCGGGGCAGACTGGCCAACGGACAAATCTTGGTTTATTTCTTGGACGGGGGGGGGGTGCCCCCTGATGGGGAGATTTATTCATCACATTTCAAATTAAAACAACATTGCGATTAAAACGTAAGCACACAAACGGTCAAACCGTACTTTCTCTTTTGGTTATAAGACATGAATTAGACGCCTGAATCCAAAGTCAACTAGCAAACTAAATGCAGAGTCTCTCCCTCAGTGCAGCCATGCGCATTGCGTCACTGTGTGGGGGAAAGAAAAAGCTTGGCAGGCGTGCAGTGCCAGTTACCGTTGCTAAGCTACAATAGTACAATCTATACATGTAGCAACATGGAAATCCTCCCTGTTCAGCCTCTATGTAACCGGACGAATGCACGAGTGTGTCATAAAGTTGTGAGAACGTACGTATGAAGCTACCCCAAACCTACTCTCCGCTGCTTGCAGTTGAAGCGAGTAACGTCATATTGGAATCTGAGCCTCCCCGAGGACCTGAGGACGCGTCTAGAGTTTCTGTCTGCTGGGCCACTCATTATCTGGCTATTAATGAGACACCTGAGAGAGCGCTGACCTGCTGGAGAGGCTCCAAAAGTAGAATATCTTTGAAATCACATTTATTGACATGTCTTGCAAGCACAAAGCCTCATCAGCATTGAGAATGTGTGTGCTCAGTCTCACCTGTGTGTCTTTTTTGTTGTACAGAGTAAAGCAGCCGATGGCCTCGCCCTTCCCAGAGGCAGACGCTCTCGTTGGGCCCTCCAGACGGAGTCTGACTGAGGGAGGAAGCTCCGCATACAGCTTGTAGGACAGATTCCTCATCACACACAGTGAATTCTCTAAACCCTGAACATTGAAGGTAGACGGAGAGAAGAGAGAATAAATAACCAAGTTACCTGAGTGCAGCTGAGAAGCTCGTCCTCTGGTCACATGGAGATTACCGAGGCATTGAATCTTTATGCTCTTGCCGTCGGTTTTTCTAACTCTAACTAACGTAACATTATGAGTACATTTTAGAGGGTCGGTCAGCTATTTTTTCAAGTGGAGTTGTAGCACGTTCTCATCCATCAGTGTTTTTCCCACACTACAACTTTCACAAATACCATGCTGATTATTTAGGATTTCAACTTCATTGTTCTCAACCGGGACCTTCAGTATCTGGATCTAGTGGAGGTTGTCCAATTTAGCAGCTGGAGCTTTTATTTGACTGTGCAAGAAGGTCGTGTCGCCAACATTTCAGTAAGTATCAGATTGGACTCCACATAAAGAACTTGGATCCCTCGTGGGAACCGATGGGCTTGATTAATATCACATTGTTGGTTTTGGTCACTTCATGCCAATTAGAAAAGTATAGATATACACATGCTTATTCTTTACTGTAAATACGTCTTTCATTGGGACAGTCTCCTGCTCTCCAGCTCTGCTGCCTGGGGCTCACAGCTGTTGCTGTTTTTGGAGGGGCCATAAGGGTCGTGGTCATTTCCTACTCATACAGTGTATGATAACGGCACGGGCTATTGCGGTGCAGGTTGGGTTTACCTTGTCATCTCCCCTGTCCTCTTGTTGAATGTAGGACACCAGAGAGTCTACCAGGCCTTGCATGTCTCTCATCTTCCGCCTTGTCCTCTCATTCACCGAGCTCAAGTTTCTATGCCCCAAAAGACACAGACAGAGATGTAAACCCACTGCGCTATGAGAAACATAGAAGCAGTGACGCTGTCTCCTTGGAATTTATCTTGGAACCATTTTGACTTGACTTTGTGAATTTGTGCTGAGAACCTTCAGCAGCACCTTCACCAACTGGAAATATAGTACGGTCCAATACATGGGACGTATTGGGCCGTGCTGCACTTACAGTTCTTTCTTTCAGAGCCTGCATTCAGTAAAAAGCACAATGAAATCCTCTATTCAAATGTACCCTTAAGGGAGGCGTTTCATGAATTAAAGGGATTGAAATGAAGGCCAATAAATTTTTCTGGTGTTTTGTGGATAATGAAGCAACAAAGGGCTGCCCCTTTACTCCCCCTGATTTGTGCCTCTGCCTAGCCAGCAACTCCATAGCAACGGCAGACAAGGTTCATGAATGCTTGTATTTATCTTCATTCAACAGAGGGACAGAACGTGGGACATTACAACATAATGTTTTGGAGTAAAACTGTTTCTCTTTTGTGCAGCATTGCAGAATTTTCATCAAGCTCTACGGTGACATGAAGATTCAGCTTTCTCAGTACTGATTGATTGTCAAATAACTGTCAAAACATCGGGATGTCGGGTAATGAACGGCCGATCCATTCCACACTGAACCAGCTACACATTCTAGAGTGTCCCCAAGATCATACAAACACCACTGTATTAGTGCAACAAATCCTAGTGCATCCCTACAGCTGCACCTCTGGTATAATGAAACCGTCCAACCCGTTGTGTGGACTCGCGGGCGCTACTACGGAGTCACCTGAGGCAGCCGCTGGTGTTGTAGAAGATGTCCCTCTCAGATGGACTCAGAGGGACGCTGCTGCACAGAGGAATCAGTACTTTCTCCGTCAGCTCTGACAAAACTTCTTTGGAAAGCTTCTCCTTCAGGTTGTCTCTGGAGGACAGATTCCACAGGACACCTGCAGTCAAAAACAAAAATTCTATTCACTTATCTGAATCACTGGATAGAGATGATGGTGGCCACGCACAGGTTACAGTGGGATATCGATGCACGGACATGCGTCTGAGGTCAGTGCTACCTGTGATGGTCTTCCGAAGCTCCTCGTCAGGTTGGCCGAGGATGCTGACGAGGCGCATCACTCCACCGGCGTCGATGAGTGCCGCCTTATTGTCAGCGTTCTCGTAGATGAGGTTCCGCGTGGCGCCGGTGGAGAAACGCTGCACCTCTTGATTGTCACTGGAGAAAAGCTGAACTAGAGCTGGAACGCCATGTAGAAAACGAACCTGAGAGAGGAGATCCGGATCAGGAACAACACACAGCCTATACTGTAAAAGCACACATGTGGAGATGGCGCGCTGCTATTGCCCACCAGGCAGACCAAATTAAAAACTGACAATTGATCACATAAAGAAATTGCAGCAAATATAGGGAAATATGACCAAAAGTGTCAACATGCAAGCAGGTTACCTGGTTTTTGGCTTCGTTGCTATGGTAACACTTGTGTTGTATGTATGCAGCTCCAAGAACTTGCAAGGCAACGTCTGATTCCGACAGATATTGGACAGCTGTGGGCATGTCCAGACTCTGCATACTGCACACACACACACACACAATAAGTTCTATGATCAGCAACATTGATTGATCTGTTGATTGTATATTTCCAATTATCAATTCATAACTTTGTCCCAAAAAAAATCAGATACACACAAACAAGGTTTTTCCATCCAGTCCATTATGCGTTATGCACCTCTGCGTAGTAACAGTCTTACGTAGTAACAGCGTACATGAAGCTGACTTGCCCCAGATGTTCACCGGGTAAGTGAATAAATAATGTGCCTCACTCTTCCAGCGGGTCGTTGTTGTGTATCGATGCCCCATCCAAGATATCCACTCCTTTCCCGACACTCCTCAAACTGCGAAGTGAGGGGGCGCGGTGGATGGACGCCTGGCACTGCCCTGTCCCAATGCCGTGGCTGGCCCTGGACATGTGCTGCTGCCACTGTGTCCCCCAGCTGTCCCCTGCCATGGGGACTCCTCTTCCTGAGCCCACCCAGCCCTCCTGGCCAAAGGTGGAGCTCTGCTGCTGTTGCTGGTAGTGCTGCTGTCGGTTGGTGATACGGCTGATGGTGCGGTGAGAGGGGCCCTTGTAGGTGTAATGGTACGGCTGCTCCTCCTCCTGCCAGTAGCCTCTTTCCTGGGCCAGGGTCCCGCTGAGGCTGCGCCTCAGGGTCCCGAGGGCCGGCACTGTAATCTCTGGAGGACGCGACGCAGCGATAGCAGCCTCCTGGTCCGCTTGGCACAGCGACTTGGAGCGCGTGTTCCGGCTGTGTGAGGACCGGAAGCTGCTCTGCACCTCGCTCATTTGTTTATGACGAGCTTTAGAACTAGTTTCCACAGCAGAGCGGGAGGAGAAACCAGAGGAGGGAAGGGGTGCTGTTGGCATCTGCAAGTTGGAGGGGGAGGAAAGGGTCAGCAGACGCAGCAGCGGGTTGAATGATGAAAGATGAATACCCTTTTCCGCAGATTTTTGATATGAAAAGGCAAATCGGGAATCATTTACCCAGTGCCGCAGAGAGTGTCTTCTACGGTACGGAAGGAGAAAATGTATCGGTAGTATTTTCCTTCCTTAAAGGTGCTTGATATAGAGCAGGCGGCTAGCAGTGTGTGATGCTAACTGAGCTAACAGTGTTGACCTGGGGGGAAACGTGGGTGGGGATGCCATTGCCGTGCGTAACATAGAGTTAGCTAGCCAGTTTGGAGCCCGAGATGCACTGAAAGGCTCAAGCTGACAAAGAGAAACCACACAGAAGGACTCATCTGCTCAGGTACGCTATGTGTAGTTAGCTGCTATGTTAGCACCTTTCTGTTGACAGTGAGAGGCCCTTCCTCCTCCTCTTCATCAAAGCCTGGCTACCGTTAGCTGCAGGAAGCGCGCGTGGGCTTCTGCATTGTGCAAATGGCATCCTGTTTATATTTGTCTTTGTCATTGTTCTGGATTTGGTGAGCAGGCCTTCAGAGCAAAGAGGAAACATTATTCATACACGACTGGCTCTCAACATTCCAGTGTGTGTGTGTGTGTGTGTGAACAATCCTCTACCTCTAGAAGTATTTTGTATTCTGTATCTAGAGACTCTACTAAAGGCAATGCTACCTTTTATAATTAAAACAGTATTTAGTTTAGAGAACATGCCATTACATTATCTTTATCAATAGTTTTATTGGAACACTGGCTAAAAACTGCCCGATTTAGGATGTTAGCTGTATGCAGAGACCCGATCGGAGGGATTTTCTTTTAGGCCAACCAACTTCACAAGACAAATACTCCTTATCTATATCCCATTCTGCCTGCAAGCTGTGTGTGTATTATGTATATTGGTTTTTTTTTATAACTTCTGTCCTCCTTTAATGCAGTGGTTCTCAACTGGTCCGGCTCCGGGACCCACCATCACCCCTTAATGACAAGCGGGGAACATTCTCAACATCTCAAATGTATTTAATGAAAACATGGTGCAGTTTGAACCTGAGAGAGTATGGAGACAGAATATGTATGCCAACACAAAAACAGCCAGCTGTTAATTTCTCATTTTTATTTTCCCAGGCAAAGGCCCATTAAAAAGTTGAGAATCACTGCTTTAATGTATCCATGGGCTGTAAGTTGTTAAGCAGGTGACATGGTGTATGCGATAACATCTTTGTTCCCAAACAACGAGTAATGCTCGTATATTCTACAACATGTAATACTTGTCTACATCTATTTTGAAGGTTCTTGACATGAAAAAGTGCTCTGAAGATCCAAACTTCCCCGTATGTCCACTGCCCGCTTTATGCTCCTCTGTTAAACGGGGCAAAACGTTCAGTAAAGAGATAAATAGCCCAGTAATAGTAATCTGTACTTGATGCCGCTTTGTTCCTGCATGTATGACAGTGTTGTGCAGTACGTGGAGGCGGTACTCACAGCCATAACACGGCTGGGTGTGTGTATCATGGATCTGGAACTGAAACCAAGGTTGTGTGAAAAGCTCTTGACCTCAGGATAGTTGTTGTCTAGAAACAAGAGGAAAGACAAATATTAGTGATTTGGACAGTTGTGCCAGTGTGTTAAAACAGACTAAATGTTCGTATTCAGAATGTCGCCTCGTGTCATCGTGACCTGCATGGATGGGACTTTTTTTATTGGTGAACTGTTTACAAAACGTATTCTACAGACCTTGATACCCAACACACACGCATCCAAGCTGGACGGAAGGAAAGGGGGGAGGGGATGCTGCTGGGAGGGAGCTGCATACCTGAACAATGGCATCATCGGGTCAGGGGTGAGGGAAGCTCGGACACGACCACCAGTCAGGGGAACATGCTAACGTAATCCAGATCCCTTATACAGCGCAACAGAACGGATGGCAACAGCTTTACACATAAGGCAGATCTGTTTTTGCACTAAGTAATGATATTAGATTTAATCCATCAATATTGAATGGAACGCGCCTATTTTTCAAATCTTATCCTCAACCCTCCCAAGAGCTATGAGCCCTGTTACTTTGTGTAATGTGGCTAAACGTGACGCACAGGTCGCTCCAGGGGTTCTAGCAAATTAAGAAAATACCAACGGATTAGGCAGGTCAAAAGGGGACAAAGCAGGTTAGAAAGCTTTCGTGCAATAGTCCACCTTCTCTTTTTCAAACACACACTTAGTTGTGGCTCCAACAGGATCACCATCAGAGCCACAGCTCTGTGCTCATCATACATTTTTGGAATATTTTGAATACAGCATATATGCAAAATATTGCAATATATGATATTTGCTGTCTAAAGATATAATCGATTAATGTCCACCTGAGTAGAGAAGTCGATGCGTGTAGTGTAATCAGCGCTTCTCCTTGCTATGTACTTTTAGTGCATGTTAGTGCACGTGGGCATGCCCATCTGGCTGGCGCACGGCCCCCTTCTTAACTGCCCAGAAACAGAGTATCCTCCGCCCCGGCTCCTCCTCATGTAAACACTAGAGGACAATGAACGACGGGGAAAAAACATGGATTATATACCCGGTAATATTTTTGAATTAAGATATCTGTGGAAAATATGTGCTTTTCCTGCATTGCCTCTCTACTTGGGCTCAGGCACGGTCCCAAAGAAGCAGGTAGACAATCACTGATAAAGATAAATGAGTTACATTATCATTTCAGCACCATGAAATACATTGAGATTTGGGCTGGCCCTTCGCCGCCCTAGTCTGGCGACGCGTCTTAGCGTCATGACAATGGCGAGCAGTATCCCTCCAACAAGACCAAACCTGACTCACTACATTCTCTCCTCAGAGCCGGTTGACTTACGGTGAAACAACTAGGCCCAGATCAGCCGGACCACAATCAGACGACGGACCGGCGACAAAGGGAAGCCGCACGCACAACGCTTCTGTATATTTATCCTTTAATATAATATATTTATTATAATATATTTATATTGGATATTTATAGTAATAGTTACGATATGGTAGTTATATCATATTCTGAATATTGTTTTATATACATATTTATTATTATAGTGACTTGAATAAGATGTCCTTATTATGTTAAGCTGTTGGAATAGATGTTAAATATTTAACTGCGAAGTAAATCACACTGGGATGTTTATTGAAACTGGCTGGCCCTACCAGAGAAAAACCCCACCAGCCGCCACTGCCGTTAGCTCTGTCATAGCTTGGACTGCTAGCGCTGTTAGCATCATTCGCTAGAGCTGTTGTGAGGCAGTCAAAGCACTTCCAATATTGTTAAATGCACCTTTAAATTACCCGAGATTAATCGCATCTCTGCGTGGTGTCGCGGTTAAATGTCTTTGAAAGGTTAATGAAGTGAATTTAAAAAGAGGGACTGTATTACGTTACAGAACTAGAGAAAGTTTATATCTGAACCACTGGCTCTGCTGACAGGTTAATCATCTATTGGATTAGCTGGAATAAAAACGACTCTATCAGGGGGTCTGGGGTTCTGTCTCATTTAGCGAATCGTTGAATCACACACCCGCTGTATGTCTGCTGGAAAGCGTGAGAGACGCAGCTCAGTCAAGTCCGGGAACAAAACCCCATTGGCATGCCATGAGAAATCCACAATATGGGAGTGCTGCTATCTTAAGTATGTTTTCAATCATCTCCTCTCTTGACGCTTTTTGAAGCTGAATGAACCCAGATGGCGTCTGCAAAACAAGAAGCCTCTCAGTAATTTATGTTTGTATGGAATGTGTGAAGCTCCTCTCATTCGCTGTTATTGGGTCATCGTCTCCACCCGAAGCCTTTCTGAACCCTGCGATCTCTGGTCTTCATCTTCTGCTGAAGCTCTGGTCCTCGTAGCATGATGTCTTAAAAACACACTCTAAACCCACGATAACCAGTCTTCTAACTACACACACCAGTTACTCGCTACATTGGGGAAACACACATCTTTTAGGATTAGGGTCTAAAGTTTGGCATTAAAAGGGGGTTATATGATTGGAATGGACATGGAAGACATTCAATGTGGAACTTGCTGGCTGTAGCTTTATACTTGGTGGACGGAAGTGAGACGCGTCCTTTCTGTGTGTTGATGTTCTTTTGGAGTGACCTCATTACTCCACTATATCTTTAGAAAGTAAAAAGCTGTTTCCGTGTTAAATGAATGAACTAAATGGCAAATAGCAGCTGTGAGTAAAACAGGGTTGTGTATAGAATTGACGTTGTCATTTAGTTGGATTGATGGTTGGCGCTTAGGTTGGTTACTATGTGCCCTCTTCTTGTTATCTAACTCAACTGCACATCTAACTTCATTCACAACACTTAGAATACAGTTTTTATAAAATGTCAGACTTAGACTTAGTTTGTATTATGCTACGTAGTGAAATAAGATCCCCTAAGAAGTGTTTCTCTATCTAACATCTATTTGGATGTTGTTAAAAGAAAAAAGATCAGTATATCCAACTAGCTGTATTTTAGCTCGGAGGTGTTTTGTTATAGGGAATATATTCCTTTCTCAAGCAGCAAATGTTTTTGAGTAGTATTTCCAGTTTTCTCTGATATTCCGTCCTTGAATTCTTGTGAGCCGGTGATACGAGGACAATGACAGACGGCCTCGGCGGGCAAAGTGCACGGCAGTCTAAAATAAATCCTGATAACGGGCTGTGAAGAGGAGATTGGACAGGAATGTTCCACACATTGGTGGTCAATGACTTTAGGTGGGTTGTTGAACCATCAGCTAACATTTCTTAATAATATAATTTAAAGAGCACATTCACACCGGCACACACGGCACTTATTTCTTTCTACGGTTTCATTGTTTTGCTCAGCTCGCCTCTCCGTCGGTTTCCTTTGTTTTTGTTTTTTGTAGCTGACTGCATCCTCATACTACAACTTCATCTTCAGCCAACTTTATTTCTCTTTCAGTTGCACCCAAATATCAAGCAAAACAAATTCCAAACCAATTTCTTGTTGTGAAAATGGAAATTGGAAGAACAAAACTCTTATATAAAAAGAAGAGCCGGTTAATTTAATCATGCATTGGAAATTGAAAAACATTTCAATGGCCCTTATTTTTTGTGTATTGTGCACGTCCATCAGTTTTAGAACCAAGAGCACCCCATTGTTTTTGCTATATTTGGGGTGACGGGAGCCTCTGAGGCTCTGTGAGCGTAACTGGGCGTTTCCCACCCAGACGCTGCACACGGAGCTTTTAAAATGGCTTCAGTTGCACTTAGAAATGATAGAATCTGACATTAGTGCAAGACATAAAACATGCGTTTCTTATATTTATCATTATTCTATAGCTTACTGTAACTAAATAAATAAATAAAGGGTAAACAGGAATAACACCAAGATGGTAAAACTGTCTCATTCTCTGGTTTTGCATTTTTTCCATCTAAACTCTGAATGAGAAATATAGATTTCTCTCTGTTATGGCTCAGAGATGTGACCTAAGTCCTTTTACTGGTGAAAGGTGGCTCACACAAGCTTCCATGTAGCTTCCAGACAACATCCTGACTCAAACCGAGGCGCGGCCTTCTTATCAGGCGGGAGAGGGAGTAGCGGTCCATTTCTCCTTCCTCACCCCGACTTTCCGTTTTAAAAACACGATTGCGAGGTTAAGACAATGAAACAGTTGGGGCTCATCTAACCGGCTGAACGGAGAGAGTCGTGACAAACAGTGAGTAGTCCCGTGTGCTCAATAATCACTTATAACTAATGGAGAAGCAATTTTCATTGAACAGCTGAACTGTTATAACTATAAGACCGCCCCGACCAAACCTGTCATAATTAGTTTCCCAAGAGAGGAAAGAAAACAGGAAATGAGCAGGAAGTAACACATCACGCTTCTCATAGTGCACAAACACCGGGCAGTGTAGCAGGCCAACGACACACAACTACACACAACTGTTCCGCCATCATTTACATACATTCAGGGTAAAACTGATGTTTTATATAAATCTTGACACCAATGAAAAAACTGCTAAACGGTTCCACAGTGTATATGGACAAAGTAATCACCTCAGAATAAACTGTCTTGTTACTCTTTTGGGATAAACTGGATGACATTAACAAGTATGTGCCTTTAGCACAGGGGCGCTAACAGCTCTCCAACTGTCATGTTGTGTATAATCAGAGCCAAAGTGGCCCACCACAGTCCTCTGCTGAAGTCGCTATTTGGTTCGAAATGTCACACCAATACGAGATCGTCTGTGTCCCAATGGTGCGCTGCACGGTAGACAGTTTGGTGCATGACATTTGATTATGGGATGTTACTGCAAACAGTCCCATTGAGCTCTACTTTTCTGAAAATTCAGGAAAAGAGAAAGGAACGCTAAAAATCGTAATGGCAGAAGCATTTCCATACTGCAACATCCGTCATGTGACCCTCCATGCCTCCTAAGTTGACCCATGAAAACATCAACTGGGCTCACTGTTAACTCAAGAATAGAATTTAAGGTACTTCTCCTTGCTTGTAGCACCTTATTGCCCTACAAGGCAGCTGCGCTCCATAGATGCTGGTTACTTGTTGTTCCTATGGTTTTAAAAAGTAGGCTGGGGGCCAGAGCCTTCAGTTATCAAGCTCCTCTTTTGTGGAACCAGGTTCCAGGGGGCAGGTTCAGTCAGCTCTTTTAAAGTAAAACTTAAAACGTTCCTCTTTGATTGTGCCTATAGTTAGGGCTGGCTCAGGTTAGCCCGGACCAGCCCTTAGTTAAGCTGCTATAGGCTTAGACTGCTGGGGGACTTCTTAGGACACACCGAGCTCCTCTCTCACGCTCTCGTTCTACAATAATCCACGTTTTATTAATGCACATGACTAATTCGGCTTCTTTCCCAGAGTTTTTTTTTTGTGCTTTCTCCCCTATCAGGTCTCCGTAGATCGTGGTTCCTTCTGGACCCTGGTCCTGACACCTGCCGTGGCCATGCTGACGCCTGCTGCTGCCATCATCATCATCATCATCATCTCTATTATTATTTTAGATATTAATCATATTACTGTACTCGTAAACCAACATTACCCTCTCCTAAAGTCTCTGTGCTCTCCCTCCCCACAGGCTTCTGTAGATGATGGTTCTATCTGATGGTGGTTCTATCTGATGGTGGTTCTATCTGATGGTTCTATCTGATGGTGGTTCTATGTAATGGTGGTTCTATGTGATGGTGGTTCTATCTGATGGTGGTTCTATTTGATGGTGGTGCTATCTGATGGTTCTATCTGATGGTGGTGCTACTTGTTGGTGGTGCTATCTGATGGTGGTTCTATCTGATGGTGGTTGTATTTGAAGGTGGTTCTATTAGATGGTGGTTCTATTAGATGGTGGTTGTAGTTGATGGTGGTTCTATCTGATGGTGGTTCTATGTGATGGTGGTTCTATGTGATGGTGGTTCTATTTGATGGTGGTTCTATGTGATGGTGGTTCTATGTGATGGTGGTTCTATCTGATGGTGGTTCTATGTGATGGTGGTTCTATCTGATGGTGGTTCTATCTGATGGTTCTATGTGATGGTGGTTCTATGTGATGGTGGTTCTATGTGATGGTGGTTCTATGTGATGGTGGTTCTATCTGATGGTGGTTCTATGTGATGGTGGTTGCCCCTGCAGTGGTCCTGCTGTGCGCCTGGTTTACTACTCACAGTTACTTGAATCATTCCTGTCATATAGTCTCATGTATTATACATTGTTCATTCTGTACACATGACATCATTGTAGTCTGTCCATCAGGAGACGGATCCTCCTCTGACGTTCTCACTAAGGTTTCTTCCCTTTTTTCCCTCTTGGAAAGGTTTTTCATTGTTTGGGGAGTGTTTCCTGTGCCGATGGTGGGTTTCGGGACAGAGGATGTTGTATGTGTACAGACTGTAAAGCCCTCTGAGGCAAATTTGTAATTTGCAATTTTGGGCTATACAAAATAAAATAAATTGAATTGAATTGTTTTTCAAACTAAAGGGAGTGCTAGAGTCTGTCAGTAGTATCACACCGGCTCATGTAAATATTAATAAATAAAAAACAAAAGTGGTTAAGTCACAGAGATTTCCCATTTATTTATTGGAAACACGCTATATGCGTATCATTGTTGTGTCTCAGATTTTGTCCGGCCGTTAGAAGCACAACAACCTCACATACCGAGGGTCAAAGGGATCAACACAGCTTCAGCAGCCAGAAGTGAGCGCATGTCCTCATGGAGACGGAGGAGACTAAAAACGGAGCTAAAAGGGAGACCGGATGTTGCAGTTTACGTCCATCGGGAGGCCGGACGATTCAAAATCCAATGCTATTGGCTGAGAATACGTCACTGTTGCGTTTGAAACGTGTCCCAAGCATAATAAATGATTAATAACATCCCAGCAGTGACGCCTATTGATGACATGGTGGCGCTGTCTGCTCGTAGAGGCCTTATTTATTGCACATTTATTGAACGCTCAGTCATCCGCAGAAGAGCGTCCCTGGGATCCGCGCTGTGAGGGGCTCACCTGTTGATCCATTGCGCGTGTCGTCCAGTCTGGGCAGGGACGAGGACCTGTTCTCCGCCAGCCGCATCCGGACCTGCTCCCGGACCCTTCGGGCTCTGGCCCCGGGGTCCGCAGACGGGCCGTCCGGGGGAACCACGTACGCGGTGCACGAGGTTCTGGGCTGAAGAGCGGACAGAAAGCAGCCCTCCGCCACCGACACACTCATTCTCACACGGTAATCGGACCGGAGGGGCAAGAAGGGTCCTGCACAGCGGGGGGTGAGGCGGGTGGTCCGGGGGGTTAAAGAGGCTCCGCCGTCTGCGCGCTACTGCTGCGAATGGAGACCGGTCAGCGACTTCACTGTGTGGAGGCGGGACGTTCAGGGTTGTTTTGTGGGGGGGGGGGGGGTGCAACTACTGACAGATCAGCACTGATCAGAAATGACGTTAACAAAGGACTTGCGACAGCAGGTGAAATGTCACGCCGACAGGTTAACTTTAAATGAGGAGTATAAACTAAACATTTGCTTCTTGCAACTTCATTGGTAGCTGGATGGAGGATGTCTGCTCCCAAGCGTCTATCTCAAGCATGTCACATGGAATATTGCACAGCCTTTTGGGGGAGACCATGGAAAGCCAATGTATGCAGGCCAGTGAGCGATAAACTAAAGTCAACATATTCTTTCCACATATGACTTTCCCGGAAAGGAGGGCTGTTGCAGAAGTGCGTGATGGGTTCAACTCAAAGTCTGATGAATTCCAGATGACTGGTAGAGGAAGGTCCTCCTCTGACTTTTTTTTAAAGCAGCGGTTTCCAAACCTTTTATGCCACGCACCCCTTCTACATCCCAACTGGGTTCATGCATCCCCAAACCCCCACACTTAAAAACAAAAGGTCTGTTTATAGCAGCATTCAAACTGGACCAATGGCAGAACAGTTTGCTCACGCGTGATGTTTGTTTACAATATTTAGTCCACTGTTAAATGTTGCAGTGTGAACACAGACCGAACAAAGGGGCAACTACAACACTATCATATTCATTCTGAATCAGGACAAACAAAAAAACGGCATAAATACCCTGAAACACTGCAACAAAGTTTCAGTAAATTCTATTTACGTCACTTTAGAGGAGCAATAAAAAGCATGAGGACACTCGCACAGGCTCAGGGGCAGATTGCATCATATTACATTTACAATTAACCACACATAGCGGCTAAATTATTTAAAATTCAAAATGTAAAGTTACACATCACAACTGATTATTGGAGGTAGAGGAATTTGAAATGACACAGTAAATCACGTAAAGAACTAATAGTGGCACATGTATAGTCTCAGAAACAGATATGAATAATAAGGGAGGGGGGGAGAGAGAGAGGGGGGGGGGTAATATTAGCGAGTAAGGGACGTGCGTATCAACTCTCCGTTTCTATCTCCTGAGATTCCTCCGTCTCTCTCTGTCTCTCTGTCTCTCTGTCCCTCTCGCGACTGATAGCTTCAGACGTCCACCTGACAGTTTCCCGATTCTAGCCAAGTCAGCTAAGCCAAGAGTTAGCTGACCTTAACTGCCCTTTGTGAGTAATCTCACAAAGGGCAGTTTTATAACTCATCTCTCTATTTTGTGTTAAACCCCTATTGAGTTTTTACAAACTCTATTTAATATGAATTATTAATCCGTTATTATTACGTTATGTCATTATTAACACTTTCCACACCACAAGTTTCTGTCAGCCTGAAACTTGAGTTTCTGCAGAGTCCTCGTGCGTGGGATGTGACTTTGGTTCCTCCCTGTGGTGTGATTGAGGAGCACAACATAGCACACCGCAACGAGTTGTAGGGCCAAGTCATGGTGATTCAATTCATACAACGAGAGCCTAAAACTTTCTAAAGTTTCTTTAGTGTGGACCTGAAGTTGAAGTTCCACGAAATGCTTATGAGACACACGTTAAACACACGTGTTTAAATGTCTCTTCACAAATTGCTACCGGGAGGTAAGGCAGTTATTCACCTCTGGCTTTGACTCCCACATAATGTCCTTTTTTGTTGCAACATTTTCAAAATAAGCGTGGCTTTCTCTGTTGATCAGGATTGCATATTTGAAGGCCTCAGGAATGTGGAAAAAAACGTCACCCAAAAGCCTCCATGAGACTTGGGGGTCGTTCTGAGAAGTGGAGGGTGAGGAATTTGGGGAGATTCCTGCAGCCAGCCTCAGAACCAAGCTCGAGACCCTGAGGCTTCCACACAGACCTACAGAGAAAACCGCTGACCACCAGCGTGGGTGTGGATGCAGTGAGGTGGCCTTGTTTAGGAACAGAAGATATGCAAAAAAAGTGGGAAAGTAAATCAAATCCAGCTGAATTGCCCCCATAATTGGACCATTTTGTGGTTTATCCCAGGCTATTTGACTGTATTTGAATCAGTAGTATCCCACAGAATTACAGCATTAATATATGTAATATACATTGCACCTAAATTACCTATATTAATTTAATACTTTTATTATTGTACATGGTATCATGACGTAGTCCACATCAAGTATCTTATTCAAAGAAATGTTCAGGCAACTGCAGAGTACCACTAACATTAATAAATCACCAGCTCCATTCATCACATTACTTAATTGACACTCCATATGCTGTGTAAAATAACCCTAAAGGTTTTCATTGTGTAGTTCTTATCCTTTAATACAGTAAGTGATCTATTCCAGATATAGAATTAATGAACAGTTATGAACTCTAATCCAGTGGTTCAGGTATGACTCTCTCGGCAATGTGCAGTTTAAAAAAAAGTAAAAATATGAAAAAACGTTAAAAATATGAAAAAACAAGAGGGAAGGAGTTACCCGGCCCGGAGGAAGCCCGGGGCCCCCATTTGGAGCCAGGCCCAGATGGAGGGCCCGACAGCGAGCGTCTGGCCGGGCACAGCCCGAAGGAGTGACGCGGCAGCCCAACACTCTACTCCCCATGGGCTCACCACCTGTGGAGGAAACCGATGGGGTCGGGTGCGCTGCTACAAGGGTGGCAGTGACAGTGGGGTGTCTAGACGGAACAGACCTGGGCGGCAGATGCTGGCTCTGGGGACGTGGAACGTAACCTCTCTGGGGGGGAAGGAGCCGGAGCTTGTGCGGGAGGTGGAGCGTTATCAGTTGGATCTGGTGGGGCTTACCTCTACGCACAGCCTCGGCTCTGGAACCACACTCCTGGACAGGGGATGGACTCTATTCTACTCCGGAGTGGCCCATGGTGTGAGGCGCCAGGCGGGTGTGGGGATACTCATAAGTCCCCGGCTGAGTGCTGCTACATTGGAGTTTACCCCGGTGGACAAAAGGGTCGCCTCCCTACGCCTTCGGGTGGGGGGGGGGCCTTGACTGTTGTCTGTGCATATGCAGCAAACAGCAGCTCAGAGTATTCAGCCTTTTTGGAGACCCTGAATGGAGCCCTGCATGGGGCTCCAGTAGGGGACTCCATAGTCCTACTGGGAGACTTCAATGCGCACGTGGGCGACGATGGAGATAACTGGAGGCGTGATTGGGAGGTAATCGTATCATCTGATCTGAGGCCGCATGTTCTGGACACTCGGGTAAAGAGAGGGGCAGAGCTGTGAACTGATCACCATCTGGTTGTGAGCTGGGTCAGAGGATGGGGGAAGACTCGGGACAGACGCGGTAAACCCAAGCGTGTCGTGAGGGTGAACTGGTAACGTCTGGAGGAGGCCTCGGTCCAAAAGATTTTCAACTCACACCTCCGGCGGAGCTTCTCTCATATTCCTGTGGAGGTAGGGGACATTGAACCAGAGTGGTCTATGTTCAAAACCTCCATTGCTGAAGCCGCGGCGGTGAGTTGTGGCCTCAAGGTCTTAGGTGCATCAAGGGGCGGTAACCCTCAAACCCCGTGGTGGACACCGGTGGTCAGGGAAGCCGTCCGACTGAAGAAAAAGGCCTTCCGGGTTATGATATCTGGTGGGACTCCAGAAGCAGTTGCAGTGTACCGACAGGCTCGAAGGGCAGCAGCCTCTGCCGTGATGGAGGCAAAGCAGCGAGTATGGGAGGAGTTCGGGGTAACTATGGAGAAGGACTTTCAGTCGGCACCAAAGTGCTTTTGGAAGACCATCTGGCACCTCAGGAGGGGGAAACGGGGAACCATCCAAGCTGTGTACAGTAAGGATGGGACCCTGTTGACCGCGACTGAGGAGGTTATCGGGCGGTGGAAGGAACACTTTGAGGAACTCCTGAACCCAACTACTACGCCCTCTTTGGTAGAGGCTGAGCTGGAGGCGGAGGAAGGATCATCGTCAATTGGCTCCGCAGTGGCAAAGCCCCGGGGATTGATGAGATCCGTCCAGAGATGCTAAAAGCAATGGGTGTTGGGGGGTTGTCTTGGATGACACGCCTCTTCAACATTGCGTGGAAGTCTGGGACAGTGCCAAAAGATTTGCAGGCCGGGGTGGTGGTACCTCTCTTCAAAAAGGGGACCAGAGAGTGTGTGCCAATTACAGGGGTATCACACTACTCAGCCTCCCGGGTAAAGTCTACTCCAAGGTGCTAGAAAGGAGGGTCCGGCCGATAGTCGAACCAAGGATTGAAGAGGAACAATGCGGTTTTCGTCCTGGTCGTGGAACGACGGACCAGGGGCCTCATTTATAAAAGCTTGCGTATGATTTGCGCCAGAAGTGGCGTGCGGATGAAACGTAGGACGTGCGTACGCACAGAAATATTCAGACTTATGAAACCGTGCGCACACACGTCCTACGCAGTTTTCCCTTAATAAATCACAACCAATTCTAAATGCAGCGCAGTTTTTACGGCTTCATGTCACGCCCATAGTTGCCCATATATAGTCTGTGGAACGCCCACAAATGAATATTCATTGATTGCGAAATCATGACAAACACTGAGAGGAAAACGAAGAAACATAACTTCACTCAGTGTGAAGTGGAAATTATCCTTGGGGAGTTGTAAAGGAGAAGTAAAATGCTTTTTGGAGGCCACAGTATGGACATCACTAATGCCAAAAAGGCACTTGAGTGGCAAAAGGAGCTGTCCCCTCTTGATGAGAGACTGGCGGCAATGATCGGGGATCGGGGACAGGGTCGGGGCCAACACAGCCGTCGGCGTCAGGGGGGTCGAGGCACGTTTGGAAGCTGTGCCACATTATGTAGCACAGCAAACGCAGCACGATGTTGCACACCTTTCAGGAGTAAACAATAACCTCCCTCCAGTGCAGTCGAGGCAGCGCCATCTGCCCTTAAACAGGCCGATGGTGCGCTGCACTACAGCGCCAATCCTTCCATGTGCCACGTCTCCTAAGAGCGCAAGATCAGCCATCAGCGTCATTACGCATTGTGACGGCATCATGGCGTTTTATTCCATTTAATTGCATCTGACAAGCAACAGCTGTGTTTAGAGGATGAATTGCATAACAGGCCGATATTATTGCAGAACATATGTTAATTTGTATTTCTGTTTGTTCATACACATATGTGTATATATATATATATATATATACACATACAAATGTATGTACGTATATATATATATATATATATATATATTATTTCCCTATTGCAGCGGTTCCCAAACTCAAGAATGCCGCGGCCCACTTTGAAATCTGAAAATATTTCGCGGCCCACCCAAACCTTTAATCACAACTCTGATCAAAACATAATGATTAAATGACCTTACGAATTTAACCATAATCAAACATCCGCGAGCAAAAGTCTGTTTTGCGCGAGCAAAAGTCTGTCTCTGCGAGGTATTTGCTCGCTTGCGAAACATGAACTTCGTTGCTCGCGAGGAGAATCTCTGCTCGCGCTCGAACGAGTTTTCTACGCGCTCGCTGTTGTTCTTTTTGACAGTAAGGAGGAGACGGTGCTTTCAGGGTCCGATCGATGCTGCAAGGTGCGTCCGCTCTCGCCGCCCCCCTCGCCATCCACGCCTTAAATCTTCGGCTGCTTTTAGAATAACTTATATAAGATGGTTCAGCTACTGTAGAGAAAAGGACGCCGTCTCTCGCTCTTTAATCTCATTAAGTGCTCGGCGAGAACGACAGCTTTGTTTCTCCGACGCGCCCTGAAACAAGCTCCATATCTCACGCGCTTGAGCGCCGCTCAGCATCTCGCCGTCGTAGACGAGCTTTGTCGTGTTTGGCAGAGCGCCTTGAGCGCCGTGTACAACCAGTATGGATCAACCGAGTAACCAATTGATCCATATATATAAGGCGCTCCGGATTATAAGGCGCACTGTCGTTTTTTGAGGAAGTTAAAGCCTTTTAAATGCGCCTTGGAGTGCGGAAAATGCGGTATATTTACTTTAATACTACAAGAGGGCGCCGCGTTTGTTGAACAACGACAGGCGGAACAAGAGCAGCCGTTTCCAGCGAGAGCCTTATTGTTTTATTAATCTGTCCGTTTAAATTGTTTGTGCTTCATCAATTAATGTTTCACATAACTAATGTGCCGCATCATAAATATTTTTATATTAATATCAAACTTTTAAAAATTGAAAATTAAAAAACTTTATTGTAAATGACCTCTCGCGGCCCACCTGCAGTACCTTCGCGGCCCACCAGGGGGCGGCCCCCACTTTGGGAATCGCTGCCCTATTGTATATGACTATGATTTCTAAATCACATTAAGTCCCGTGGTATTACTAGTCTTCTAGGTATCTAGGTGTGATCATCTCGACGGTGAAAATGTCTTGTCACAGTCCACAGCGAAGGTCCAGAGCGGCGCCCTTTGTGCCCCATCGAGGTGCCTCGGCGCTCATTGATCGCCTAACAAGAGTCTGTCATCGATCGCAGCCAACATGGAGGCTGACAGACTCATAACCACTTGCATTCAGACACTTAAGACTGGCAAAGACCAACGTTGTCCGCCTGTGCTCTTTCCTGGCTGTGTAACAGAAGTCCCATCAGCCCTTGCTGCTCATGGAGGAATGTATGGTCACCACTATGCCAGAGCTGCGGCCCGGCAGCCAGGTTTACCACGTCCTGAGCAGGAAAGGGGGAGGGGGGGCTTCTGGAGGGCAGGACTGGAAACCCAGTGTTCCTCCCTCGGTGCCAACAGGCGGTCCCACTTCTACAGGCCTTCCAGCCGGGTCTGTGAGGGAAGGTGTACGTTCCTTGTGAAGTGGTCGTTTTAAAAGAAGAAGTCGGGACCAACTCAAGCTCTGTAGCTGCTGTGAAGGTCCGGCCCAAAACCGGAGCTGAATACGAAGCCCGAGGCAGGAACCCCGTGACCATAATGGATCCGTCTGTCTCAAGGCCCAGTTCATGATGGCGCTCGACTGGAGCAGAGAACGTAAGTTTAAAAAATGAGGAAAACCTAGTAGAAATATTTTGGACTCTCATTGTTTTTGTTATGAGAAAAGGTCGACTGGCTGTAATCCCCACCGATGCTCCCGGGTTCCACTGGTCATTGAAGATGCAAGGAAATCCCCAAACACAAGACAAGAATGTTTTATTTGTAAAATACATTTAATCCCTTTATATCTGGGCAAACTGAAGTCAAGAGTAGGGAAGGGCTGAGAGGCCGTGGCAGAGGGTCCTGAGGGTCACGCAGCCGGCAGCACCGGCACAGAAACACAGTGGCCTCGTCATTGTGGCTGTTGTCTTCACTCTTTTTCTTTCTTCAAGGATTTCTGGCGGAGAAGCTAGCTGAGGTGTTGAAAGGTTCCTTCTCCTCAGTCCCCACTGCCACAGATGCTCTCCCTTCCTTTCCCCTTTGACCACGTACCAAACACTGATATCACAATACAAGAAGAAAAAGGCATACACTTTTCTTTCTACAGCCTTCAGGATTTTTGTTAGTACGTCAGAGCTGTAAATACTACAAGACACATGTTAGTGTTTTAAGTAGGAATTGTTAAGACAGGGTTTCTTTTTTTTAGACCGCTGACAAAAGGCGTGACGATCCATAGCGGCGGTTACACAAGACGAAATGTTTCAGTGCAGTGAAGCGCAGCTCTGCGGTCCATAGGAACAGCTGTATTCTGACCAGGTGGGAGCGATCTGATTGGCTGTGACTGTGCCAGTACAAGTGTTAAAGGGAGCAGGCATGGGACGGTAAGGGACATTAGTGCAGCCGGGTCAGGCGGTGATCACCAGAAAGCGGAGGTATTGTGTTTTAAGGGGAGCTGCATGCTGGAACTACTTCTCCTTGGAGTGTTGAGACTTCCTGGGGTCTCCGCTCGTTGTTTTCTGGTAGTTATGGGCCTCCGTACACCATCTGCACCAGGGTTTATCTTTTTTTGGGGGGAGGGGGTTGATTACAAACCGACAGCTAAGCAACATAAGCAAGGCTGCAAAACACTGAGTGCAAACCACCAGGCGTCTGACGGTCTTCTCTGGCCCTTAAACAAGGACTGGAACCAGGCAAGAACTTTCCTTCAACGTTTCTACTCTGCTGGTCACTCAAGATCATTTCTTGACACACAATTAAAAACGAGCAGCCAAGGACGAATCATGAACACACGAAACTCCACGGGGCCAAAACGGCAAGAAATCTGGTCACTTCGGTTCCAGCGGTTTGTGCAGGCATCGCACGGCGGCGTGGGGGCTTCACTACTGGAGCTTCGCTTCACTACTGGAGCTTCGCTTCACTACTGGAGCTTCGCTTCACTACTAGAGCTTCACTACTAGAGCTTCACTACTAGAGCTTCACTACTAGAGCTTCACTACTAGAGCTTCACTACTAGAGCTTCGCTTCACTACTGGAGCTTCGCTTCACTACTAGAGCTTCGCTTCACTACTAGAGCTTCACTACTAGAGCTTCACTACTAGAGCTTCACTACTAGAGCTTCACTACTAGAGCTTCACTACTGGAGCTTCGCTTCACTACTGGAGCTTCGCTTCACTACTGGAGCTTCGCTTCACTACTGGAGCTTCGCTTCACTACTGGAGCTTCGCTTCACTACTGGAGCTTCGCTTCACTACTGGAGCTTCGCTTCACTACTGGAGCTTCACTTCACTACTGGAGCTTCGCTTCACTACTGGAGCTTCACTTCACTACTGGAGCTTCACTTCACTACTGGAGCTTCACTTCACTACTGGAGCTTCAGTACTAGAGCTTCACTACTGGAGCTTCAGTACTAGAGCTTCACTTCACTACTAGAGCTTCAGTACTGGAGCTTCAGTACTGGAGCTTCAGTACTGGAGCTTCAGTACTAGAGCTTCAGTACTAGAGCTTCACTTCACTACTAGAGCTTCACTACTGGAGCACACAATCATCTGGTTTTTAGTCTAGAGCGAGAGGGACAAGCAGAGATTGCAGGAAGGACACAGGAGAAGGATCTACTGCAATGCAATTTCCATGCTTTGGCAGTTATAAAGCACTTACTATATATTTATATACAGTTTATACATAAAACTGAAAGAAACATCCGTTAAAACCAGGAATATAAGAACATGTTCATGGGCGAGGAAGCAGTCAAAGCGGTGCAGGGCCACTAAAGGATTGTGTGACAGCGCGATATAATATCTACATATCAGGGTTAGGACCACACAGGTCAGATATGCATAACAGCATGTGGGACTAACAAAAGAAAGACTCAATGGAGGGTGGTCTACGTTGTCTTGTCAAAGCAATATGTGTGACTTTTCCTGCTTATTATAAAAGAAAAACGAGCGAGGGGGGAAACGCGCGGCCGCCCCTCCTTCAGCGGCAGTCGGCCCGTCGCTTCAGTACACCGGGCTGTTGCGGATGCCACAGCACAGCACCATGCTGAAGATCATCTCGAAGATCTAGGACCAAGGAACACGGAGCAGAAGGTTTGATTAGCAAATGCATCAATTAAAAAAACCCGACTCATTTGCTTACCACTCATGTCATAAGAGCCAACAAGAAAACAATCCTGTTGATGAAGTAATTCAAACAAACTGTACAAAAAGCTACGATGAAATAAGTAACGGGTCGGTTCTGGTGGGCGACTAGCGCGTATTCCTTGCATGTTGCTGAGCTGGAGGAGCAGGAAATCAGTCACAGCGAGTGGTTGATATGATCAGATATAGGTGACGTGTGTGAAAAATGTTTGTAAAAGCACATTTATTGATTTTGACTGGACTAAAATATTCCATATAAACTACTAAATAAGGACATTTGAAGAATAATGAAAAAGAAAAGATAGCTGAGGAAAATCAGGAGAAAGAATAAAATGTAGTGTCTCGTTGACGGAAACCTTAACTGACAACTATAATCTGATGAATGTGACCAATTCGACATGAATAAGTATTTCCTGTCAATGAAAGGCCGGACGTTTGTGTTCTTACCATAATAACTGCAACCACCAGGGCGGCGATACCAATCAGGTAGATCTTATCTGTGAACAGCTCATTAATCCTGTTGTGGCAATTCTGCAAAGGAGAACCGTGAAAATTGTTTATGAACGGTAAAAAAAACTCAACCAATAGTCTTCAAGAGATCAAGAGGTAAACAAACTAGTGTCACATTTAGCTTCAGCCTCCGGAATCAAACTAACCAGAGCAGCTGAAATAACGAGCCGGCACAATAATACGGCAACCCGAGCAAAGTGTCGTCTCTACCTGCACAGAAGCCATATGTTCATCAACTACTCAAATCTTCCCAGTTACTGACTTCATGGGTTCTCTTGCTTTTCCGTTTCTACTCAGATGAATGGAAACAGACATTTTTGTGTTCTGCGGGCAGCCGGCAGCCTTCAAATGAAACATGAGGACTTTCGTCCGACATTCTCCACTCACGCCTCCTTCTGGATCATCAATCAGCACCAAGGCTGTGGAGATAAATACTAAATACTACTAATACTGTGAGATTATCATGAGCCACTGACGCACTAATTAGCTAATGTTAGCGTACGAGTGTGCTACGGCAACACGCTGCATAGGTGCGTGGGTAAAAACAGTTGTCCTACGGCAAAGCGCTAAATAGGAGGCCCAGTGACCAGGAGGGGGCGCTGATGCTGACGTGGGGGATCACACTTACAACTGCGGTGGCGGCGCTGGGGCAGATGTCAGTGATGCCGATTCTGTCGGTGATTTGCGTCATGAAGGACGTCCCCACGCCTTTACCGCAGCAGCTCAGCTGAAACACACGGAGCATTTAACGTCACACACTGAAACACGAGGGCTGTCAACACCAACACGGTAATGCAGCGTCAGCGTCTTTCAGGCCAAGTTCCTCCACACCGATGGCGAGATGGAGCAGGGACCCCCTACGGAGCTCGGTCCGCCATCTTTTAGACGTGAGCATGGCGCTCTTTAGACGTGAGCATGAATGGATCTGATTGGCTGGTGCCGGTGACGTCGTATCAGCATGAATGGATCTGATTGGCTGGTGCCGGTGACGTCGTATCAGCATGAATGGATCTGATTGGCTGGTGCCGGTGACGTCGTATCAGCATGAATGGATCTGATTGGCTGGTGCCAACGCCTTTAGTGGGTTGTTCCACATGATATTCAACAAATGTCATTTCTATGAGTAAATATGTTACGATGCTACGATGTGTAACATTTCAGAATCCTGACACCAATTCATTTTGATATTTATCAATTTAGGAACTGTCAAAAGTTGAACGCTAAACAGAAAACTGAACATGTTGAAAGGATTTTAATTCAAGTGTATATGTGACTGAAAAGCGGTTTTGTTGCATGTCTTTTGCATTACATGAAAGTGGACACAGTGAATCCGGATGATACGTTTGAGGGGGCGCGTTCGTACCGTCTCGTGGAAGACCTTGAGCACGCCGGCGGCGGTCGGCCCCTGTTTCTGCTGGGCGGTGAGGCTTTCTGCCACGGCCTTTTCATACACCGTGTCGTAGAAGTTGATCATCTCCGTCGACACCTAAAACAAGAACAAAGACGTCTCAAAAGACAAAGGTTCACGGGACGGAGAAACCAAATGAGGTCAAAAAAAGAAGATTGTTTTCCATTGAATCCGTCAGTAAATATGAATCTACCAGTTACATTCTGCGCCTCTTTTTCTAACGTTCAGGTTTAAGACCCACGGGTATTTCGGCAGAGCTACAGCTAAAGATCCAGCTACACCGGGGGTCTCAAACTCCCCCCGACCGTACTGCCCTCGGCCGTGATGGTTCGGTGGGCTGCATCTGGCACCTGACACGACTGTGAGACCCCTGGCCCACGACTATTAGTGACTATAAACTAGTTGTTTATTACATTCCAGTGGAGACTCTATGGATGCTTGCAGAAATAAGACATCCCAAACCGAAATATACTCCAAAAGCCACAAGATGATTTTGTCTAAAGACATTTGTTGTCGCTCATCAAGCTTTGAATGGTAATCGGTAATGTGTGTGTGTGTGTGTGGTCTTACAGTGTCTTTGTGCATAAAGCCCCAGATTCCAGCTGCAACCTCGCAGGCAAACAGGATGACCAGGCAGACGAAGAACTGTGGGACAGCAGAGACACGTCAGACTACCGAGCACCCGGCAGACTAATGGCTTTACTTTTCTTAACATCAGATATGAAGTTGGAGGGGCCCAGGCGGCGCTACATTGTGGGGACCCCCTGTGCTTTTCCATCCTCGAAGAAGAAGGAATGATTAGTTGGAATGCATTAAGCATTCCAAGTATTGTTCTTCGAATCTTTATTTCCGACTTATTCTATTTCTTCCGTGTCACCTTTCAACTCCTTCACACTTTCAGCTATTTAAACCGTTCAAATATTAAAATGTTCAGCTCCTTTCTGGCTTGAGGGCTATGACTTTTCAGCTTTCTACCTCTTAAGCTTTAATTTATATAAATCAATAATCATTAATGTTTTAACATGGTTTTCAAATGGAGTTTGTTTTCAAATCCTCCTTAAACTTCTTCAACTTTCAGATATTTCAGCTCCGCCAATCTTTCAGCTACAGACACCATTTAAACTTTCAAATGTTGACACCGGTCTCAACTATTTTATGAAGAAAACTGCTTGTGGATATCTTTTGTACTTTTTTCATAATCACTGATTATGTTTCACTAGTTCTTCGCTCCGTTTCTGACTTTTACATGAGTGTGTATTGCGTCTGCTAGAGGGGGACCTCGCGGGCTAGAGGGTGAAGCAGCGCAGGAATCTGGTTAAAAAAGTATGGAACTTCTGTCCTTGCAGCCAAAGTATACACTCTAGAGGCTTCATTTCTTCAGATTAATGAGGGTATGGTTGTGCTGATTGGATTAATGTGTTCATGGAATCCCAGAGTTCTTTAGTTTTGGCGCAAGGAGTGTTTGAGTGACACAACCTCTGCCAAAAGCCCCATAGGCTCCAATACAAATCTGCCGACATATTTCTCACAAAAATCCACAAGGTACACGTTTTGTCAACGGCCGTAGGAGCCGTATTTATTACCGGACAGACATAAAACGCACATCCATGCGTTCGGTAGAGTCTTGGGTCTCGTAAAAACGCCGTATTTTTTAGATAGCTGTCATAGTTTTGCGCTGAATGTCATTTGTTTGAGTTGTGGATTCTGTGTAACTCGCTGTCCTGTGTCTGCCCTTTGCAGCAGCTCGTTAATGAGCACAGGTCATGTTAAAACAATTTTAAACCTCTTTTTATTCATCTCAGCTTTTGTTATTTCTGTACTTTTTTAAATTCATTTAAGCTCCTGCAACTTCTGTTTTGCAATATTTCACATTTATTTCAGCGGTTTTCATTTCTGCTTTTTCAGCAAATCTATTGAAATTCCTTATAAACAGCGGTGACCTCATGACCCTTTCCAAGCAGAGCGGGCCGAGACCGCACTTCCTTCCTTCAGAAGAAGAAAGAAGTTACATGTGACTCACAGTTCCCAGAAGACACTGGGACTCTTGGATGGCGCCATAGCATCCGAGGAAGCCGACCACCATCATCACTGCGCCGACAGCAATTAGGATGTGGACGCCTGCACAGAAAGACATGAGGTGGACATTTGATATCACACACAAGGACGGAAACCACTCGCAGCCCTGTGAGGCGCGCGGTGGCGCTGCCGATGCTGCTCTGGCGCCAGCGGGCCCAGCGAGTCAGCTGTATTCACAGGAGGCTGAGGTTGGACGGGGACATGAAACAGGTGCAGCACTTGTTTCACTCTGATCAGGTTTCCTTGTTCATATCTTTTATCCACGTACGCCTTGGATGCCGCGCTGCTCCGTTGGCTTTGTTCTTGCACATCATTGCTGCTGTCGTGAAGCTGGGTGCTCTCACCGGGGCGGCGCAGCAGCATTACTGCTGCCCGCCAGCTCACACACACCATTTGATTGTGGACCACTAACTGCTCCCACACCACATCCTAAACCACACACACACACACCAAGTGCTCCCTCCATCTCCTACACAGTGGCTCTCCGGTCTGACGAGGTCCTTCGCCGCCGCCCATCTGTCCTTTCTATTTAATGCATCTGCTCGTTTCAAAGTGATGCTCTCAATAATTCCATTTACTTAAATCGACTTTTCCTGTGTGCCTTGATTCAATCTTCCATTACGCCGTCTCTCTTTGCTCCATCCACTATCCCCACCCCGCCCTGTTCCGTCTGCACAGGAGCTGGTGGGAGCCGGGACTCGGCCGCTGCAGCGTTGCTATGAGATGTGTCCAGAATGTTCAAGGCTGGGATTGAAAAATAAATAAGACACGCAATGTGAAGACAAGTCGTAACGGGAAATGGTTCCTACGGGCGATATAAAAAAAGGCCATTTATGCTTCCTCAAATAAAACTAGCAGGAATATAAAACCCAGATCTTGAGGGTTTCCAAGACTTTGTTCCACATGTTTTGAGTCTGCTGCAGTCTTTGATATTTGGATCTCTAATCCACAGTAATGATGCCAGAAGAATCATTGCAACGTGTAGAATGCATCTGCACAAAGAATCTGAAGAAACGAGGGCAGCAGCAGCAGCATTTTGCTGCTGTTGCTGGTTGAATCAGCTGCCGGTAGCAGCAGCGAACATCGTTAGGCGATAGAGGCGGGGGGATTTTCAGGGGTGGGCGTGGCCACTGTGACGTCACTCATTAGACTGCCGCTGTGAAGCCTTCAGCCCCTCGTCTTGGCCTTTTGCATCCATCCTGTGTGCGGAGCCCACTGCTCCACTCCCTCTTCAGCCATGCCTGCAAGCCCGTCTGTGGATCCAGCTCCACCATCAAGTTTGCAGACGACACCACGTTGATTGGTCTCCTCAGTAACAACGATTAGACGGAGGCACCTGGCCAGGTGGTGCGCTGACAACCAGCTCAGGCTGTTCTCCCTTCAAGGAGCAGCTTCCCCTTCGAGCTCTACCCCCCCCAGACACCACTATCTGCACTGAAGTCACTTTACACCATTTGTTTGCACTCTCAAGTCAATATGCACTGAATATTTGCACCAGTGTAGCAACCCTAGATAGTTTGTTTATATCTCTGCATTATTTCATGTTAATTTCATTTATTACCAAATAGTAGCAGGTGAGGCCATAAGCCACCCTGTGTGTCGCACTTTATTCATCTGTAATCTGCATACACGGTTATTTATCTCGTTGCTCTGTACTCTACATGTGTAATGACAATAAAGTTGAATCTGATCTGAAGCAGAACACAGTCGCTGTATTTGGTCCAAGAAATGTGAGCGTGTTTAATGTGGGGAAGAACCGCGTGACAGCGATCACGAGTGGAGGCAACAGCTGAATACCGCCCCAAGCCCCGCCCACTCGCCCACTCGCCCCCCCCTCTGGTTCTATTTCGGTGAGGTGGTACCAAGCAGCTGTCGGACTTCCCAACCACGTTGGTCTCATGTTCCGGGAATCACCCAGGTTGCCCCGGCGACCGCGAAACAGAAAGCCAGTGGAGGGCTGAAGTGATGACCTCCATCCCGGGACAGTTACTGCGTCCATGTGAGCCTAGAGCCCATCATCACATCACGTGCTCCTCTGTCATGAACGGCTTAGAACTACAACGTAACGTCTAGGAAGGACCAGCTGGGTTCTCGTTCATCGGATCGAGGTGATGAAACCATGTGGTCACTGGGACGATTACGCAAGCTGTGAGGAAACGGCTCCTTCAGCTGAAACCAACGTGAGTCAACAGGAACATGGAGACACTTTCACTTCCCTCCACTGATTCAGCTGCAGTCGAGAGAACAGTCTTCAGTGAAGAAGTGATCCGTCGAACAACTTACGAGCTGTAGAACCCAAGAAGTGGTTTATTGTGTCTGCGAGCGGGACGGACAGAAGCAGATGTGGGACATGTTGGAACGCTCATGCGGCCGGGGGAGGGGGTGGAGGCACGGGGGGGAGGACGAGGGGAAAAACAAGTGAGACGGGCGCGATCTCAGACGGCTACCACCACCAGATGGGGGAGCGAGGAGGGGGAAACTTTT